GGAAACTTCCGACGTGCCACTTCTCCACTGAGCCCCGAGTCAAGACGGCAACCTTGCCCCTGATCGTACTAAGGATTGCAGTATATAGTCCCCCTTAAGTAAACAGAATATGGAATATATGGGGATCTTATTATAATGTACCCGAAGCCATATTCTATCTACTTAAGGAGCACTATAACCCTAAACCCTGAACCCTAAGCAGCAGTTTCCATTTTATTTTCCATTCTCCCAATACAACCCAATATGACACCAATATTTCCCCATATATCCATTAGGGTTTAGGGTTCAGGGTAGGCGCGCTGGAGGGATCCCGTGTTTAGGTTTTGAGGGTTTAGGGTTCAGGGTGGGGGGCTTTAGGGTTTGAGGGCTGTTTGAGTGTCAGGGCTTTACAGGCGGAAGCGCTTTCCTGTGAGCCTGCTTCTGAAGTTGTAGCTCTCGAAATGTAAACATCCTCCCTACACCCTAAACCCTAAACCCTAAAGCCTAAGCCCTAAACCCTAAAGACGCGCCGAGGATTCTTGCGCTCCGACTCGAGTCGTTGCTATACGGTTTAGGGTTGAGAGTTTAGGGTAATTGAATTACAACTCCTCCATATGTTGCTTGCGCCGTGCTTAAATCCATTGCCTTAATTGCGGCCCACGCAGCCAAGCAGCGAATTCTTGTCCACCGCTTTAGGGTTTACGGTTTAAGGTTTACACGCAACCCCAATAAAACCTGCCCTCCGTGCTCGAGGGGCTCAATTGAGCGGCAGCTCTTCTTGCGACAGAGCGGGACGGCTCTATAGCCTACGTTTTTGACGACCGTGATTTGCCACCAATCTTGCCAAAATGAGGGGCCCTAGAGGTATGCTCTTGTATCTGCTCAAAAGAGGGTTTTCCGATTTTCGGAACTTCCCTGATCTAAAGTCTGGAAAAGCTGCTGCGAGTGGAACCTGTGCGACTCGCGTCAATCCATCGAAAGCAACTGCGATTTTACAGAGAGCCAAGCAGCAAAACTGAAAGACTGACTCACTCCTCTTGCAGGCCTATGAATGAAGCCAGCGAGCGCTCGCATCAAGACCTGAAGGCCAACAAGGGTGTCACTATCAAGCCGGCCTTCAGAGCCAAAACAAAAACAAACGAATCCTGAAATGGCAAGTAACTTGAGTACTAGTTCTCACCAACGTATCGGGTTTCAGGGATTCTGGGCCGTAGCCTAATGTGGCATGCCCATTGCTAGGACGCACTCATTAGCTGCTATTCTGGATTGAAATCCTAATCGGTTTTGCGCCCAACGAACGTTTGACATCATCCTGTCTACTGCGTGAAGTCCAACATAAGGGCACCGCATAACGATAATCCGAAGCCCTGTGATGCCCTGTGGACCCCGGACAAGGGATACTCTAAGCTTTTCCCAGATGGTCCACATATACAACTATTACGGAATTGAAGCCCATAATTCCTTCTATAGTATGGTATTTTTGGGCCTGATTCCCTAATAGATGAAGATGTGGACCCTCGGGGTTTGCAAGCCCCCACATCAATTCTCGGTCTCGCCAGTTCGATAAACTCAGGCGGGGCACTTCTGGTTCAAGGCTGCCAACTCCACGACCTGCAAGTTCAGGGATTGGTTGGGCCTTCAGCTTCTGCCCCAAAATCCTAAACCAAAATGAGCTATTGTCTAAACTCCTAGTATCCCCCTTATTAACCTTATAGTAGTCAATATAAAACCCCTTTTTAAGGAGTTTAGATTATAGCTCAAATCATCCTAAGCACGAAGCCCCAAGGTTTAGGGAGGGCTGGGAATGGTTGGCGATATGATAGGTCTAGTTATCGTTTTTCCAAGTTTTGGGCCTCATTGGCTCCGTTCTCGCTGGTTTCATAATCTCAGCGCTTTTCCAACTAAAGCCCGAGAGAGCGTGCGTGTGGGTCCTGAAATGAAAAGCAGACAGTCAGACCCGGCAGGCAGACAGACCCCCAATATTACCCCAGTTTCCATTTCATTTTCCATTTTCTTTTCCATTTGATTCTCCATTATAGGGGGATAATAGCCTGAGATAATCCTAATATAGTACTGGAGTAGCCAGTCAGTGCTCGGAAGCAGGATTTTGTAGGTCCCTGACCAGCTCCTGCAGGGACCTACCTGACTGTCTGACTGTCTGACTGTCTGCTACGCGGTTCGGGCCCCATGCCGCGACCTCAATCAAAACACCACATTACGCACTTTGCGGCGCACAAGGACATGGGTTATACAAAAACCTCAAGCCCAAACCAGAGAACTGGACTAGGGTCTTGAGGTCTGGGATACGACTCGAGAACTTCAGAAGCGACATAGGATTATGTGCCGCCAACCTATTACGGGCATAGCATACCTGCAGTCTCCTACAATGCCTACAGTTAACATAAGTAGTTGGACGTAGTTAGGGGGTGACATATAGGGTTGTGCGATGTATCCCAAATATCACTATGATGCTAGTCCCCTCCTTTCAGTGTCCATGCTCTTTGCTTCGGATCGTGCCTTCTGAAGACAGTCGTTTACCTGCGCTCACAGCAGAAATCTTTCGCAGAGGAAAAGCAGTAGTCCTAAGTATCAAGCCAATACAACGAGATTGTAATTCTGACAGCCTGAGCAAGAAGAGTTACGCAAACAGCCATCACGCCATCACTAAGAAAGCCTTGTCCCCTGCCAAAACTCAGCATGCACATCAAAACAGCGAGCTCGAAAAAAGGACACGCGACTTTACGAATCAAAGCGGGGGGGAAAAAAACAACGAAGGTTCCCCTCCCAACTTGACACTATAAACCCAAACGCCTCAAATCATAGAGCGTATCCTCATATACCCAAAGCTCTACCTCCTTAGCGCCTTAGATCCCCCTAAGCCCTACACACCCAGCCCTAAATCCCAAACCCTAAACCCTAAATCCTAAATCCTAAACCCCAAATCCTAAACCCCAAACCCTAAACCCGAAATCCTAAACCCCAAACCCCCAAAACCCACCAAGTTGCGTCTAAGTCCTCCAACTGGTCAAAGACAGAGCCTTGCCTCCCGTCGCCCTGCAGACTCAGGCTTTGAGGCTTAGGGTTGAGGGTTTAGGGTTTAGGGTTTAGGATTGAGGGTTTTGGATTTGAGGCTTTGGATGTTGGATTTTGGGCTTCGGGTTTAGAATTTAGGGTTTAGGACATATCATTTAGGGCTTAGGATATAAGATTTAGAATTGAGGGCTTAGGGCTTAGGTGCAATCTGCTCACTATTCCTGCGCAAGTGCTACGTCACTCCTAGGTTACCGATGAGAGAAAGACAAGTGGTAGGTTCCAAAAATTGGGGGACCCCAATATAGACCTCAAAATAATATGGTCCGTATTATGGGAACCCCCAAAATGGTACCCCTAATTCCCAAGTGTCATCTTTTGCTGCAGGCTTGCTAAGGTCCCCGCCTGGAAGATAAGTGTTATCTACAGTAATGACTGAGTACAAGAGACTGTAGGACATTACCCTGAACCCTACACCCTCATAGCTTGGGATTTCCCGTACCTAAGCAGCAGTCACCGCCACATGGCCTGCCCTCAACCGACATATTATCCCTAAACCCTAAACCCTAAATCCTAAACTCTTAAATCCTGAACCCTAAACCCTTAAATCCTACACCCTGAACCCTAAAGTGTTCCCCCAGCCCCTACGAATACCAGAAAGAGTAGGGCCGCAGCAATCTCAATCTGAGGATCCACGGACCACTCCTCCAGGGTCTTCGGCCACTTCTTAATTTAAGTCACTATAATGGCGGAACCATATCTATTCCTAGATATATCCAGTATTGATTTAATATAGGTAGATTCTATCACTAGATATGCCCATTATGAATTTAATATAGGCAGAGAGATTTGAACAAGTAGGAATATTTGTGTAGGAAGCTATTAGGTGTTGCCTGGTTATCGCTTGGGCTTCTTGTATCCAGCATTGCTGTGACAGCATCAACATTCTTACGTGTCCTACTAGATCTATCGATACACTGAGAACTTTGCAAATTTCCCAAAGCCGCTGATCACAAGGACCCATTGAGGGCCCTAAACCCTGACCCCTAAAGGAATCCGTCTACCCTGAACTCATAAATGGTCCCAGTCCTCCATCCCTAGACCCTAAACCCAAAATACCCTAAACACACAAATGGTCCCAGTCCTTTATCAAATCCTCGGCGATACCTGCTCGCTGCAGTTCTGCCTTGTGCTAGAGCGGCCCGGGCAGGATGACTAGAAGCGTAATAGAGGGGAGGCAATGATAAACAAGGCATAAACAACTATCATGTTGATTTCTGTTTGGTAGTTTCCCAAAATAAAGGGACCCTAATATAGATGCCCAAATACAAAGTACTGGAATCCTCATTACAGGGACACCCCGAAATGCTACCCCTGAATTGGGGCAAACCCCCATTCAAGCCAACCTGTGCTATAGCTACAGGAGGAAGCTTGGGCTCTAATGTTGGTAGGTGCCCACACAAACCCCTACACAACCCCAGTTTCAATTCCATTGTCCATGTGCTGCTTTCCATTTGATGCTGCTCCATGATTCAATTATTGAAGCCTCTGCGCTACGGAAGTTTGGGTCGCGGCGGTGTGGTTTGGCAATCATCTTCTTTGGGGAATAAACTCTGAAATCAATCTTACAATGATTATTCTATTGGAACAGATTTAGGAAACCCGCAACAAATGAATCTTATCAGGGGTTATAGTAGATTCTGTAATGATTTCGGTCCACCATCGTCAACCTGTTGACCATGAAGACCCCAGTCCATCAATGCTGATGCTTTCGAGAACGCTTGCCATTAGAGGCAGAGCAAAGCAATCATGAGCACTTTGCATTTCATGAGGCGCGGCAAGGCAAACGAGGCAAGGCAAGAAAAGCAATCATAATCCTACGAGACAAGATTAGCTGTTCGAAATACCCTGAACCCTATCTTCCCTAAACCCTGAAGCCTTAACCGCGCTGAGGTTTGAGGACATCATTGCATCCACACTGAGGGCAGGACGCCGAACATGTCCTCCTTGACCGACAGCTCCAACCAGTTGTTCCGCTCAGCAAAGCCCTCGAATGGGGAAGCGGAGGCATGCATGCCATTGTCCCCCACATTGGGCTTCTCTTTGAGGCCCAAGTCCTCCCACTTAGCCAGAATCTGGCCACGCAAGGAGTCTACGGGGGCCTCAGCCGGATCAGTGGGGCCAAGCACTTTACCACGAAAGTCTGCCCAGGACAAGGCATTCGCGTCCCACTCCACGGAGAAGTAGTGGATGGAAGAACCGGGTTTCGTAAACTTGGATCGCATTGCCATGAAAAAGCCATTGAAGATGTACACGGGATCTTTGCCCTCAATCTCTACGAGGCCGCAGTAGAAGCCTCCACCAAACTTCACCAGCTTCTTCGCAGCCTTTGCTTGCGACCATGCCGCATCCAGCTGGCTTGCATCGATGTCTAGATGTTTGCAACCATCCATGGCATTGAATACCTTGCCTGACTTGAGAGCCTCATCCCAGGATAAACCAAACTGCTCTTGGAACTTATCCGCTGGGACGTTCAGCTGCTCAGGCTTCAGGATTGTAGCCTTGGATGCAATGGCATAATAGTGCTGGTCGATCAGCTTTTTCTGATCAATGACCTCTGCCTTTAGGGATCCCTCTCGCAGGATTTTGATGCCATGCTTCTGCAATCCAGCTTTGGCCAGTTCTCTGACCTTATCCGTCATAGCATGTGGCTTGATGAATACAAACGCCGCGTTCATCAAGTTCAGCTGCTTTAGCTCCAGCAGCTTCTCGATACATGCTTCG